ACGGACCGCGAGATCGTGACCTGAGCCGAAGTCGGACGCTTAAGGGACTGAGCCCCCCGGGCGCCCCTCTTAGGGGTTTTAACTTCGGGTCGACTCATTCCTCCAAAGGGCCCGTCACCGTCCTGAACTTCTGTGGCGACCTGGTGCCCATCTGTGTATTTTCGTGGACGCTACTGGCCCACAGAGGGGATCACATTCTTAAAGGAAACCGTGACCCGCTCCCCATCCCCAAATACGATTAAGGAATCCTGAAAGAAGATTCTAATAAGGAAGCCCGGGTTGCGCAGCCCAGGCCGGGGTGGGGCGAGTCCTGGGGTGCCGCCTCACAGGCTGGGCTCCGGCTACAGGCCCCGACTACGCACAAGGAGATAAAAACTTGCAAAAGCAAAACAGAAACCCCCAGAACTGCTGCTTACACAGTCTCCTGAAAACACGATGTCCGTTTTGCTCAATACTCGCGGCTCTCACGGCGGTTTTAAAATGAGGTTTCCTGTGACTCTGACCGACAGGGTGGAGCGCCTTCACCGTTTGACAGAAACTTTGGAACCAAGATCTCCGCCAGAGCCATGCAGTGGATCAGCACAAAGCTAAAGGAGGCTCAGGGGAAAGGTACCGAGTGCCGGCGGGAGGGCGGAACCCCGCGCGGGGGAGGGGGGCGCCTCTCCTGCTTTGGTTCGTCCCGCCTCGAGCCGCGTGCGACACTCCCCGCTAGCCATCTGGCCTCGGGGTTGTGACCAGGGGTGTCCGAATCCATGCGGTCCCCTGCCGGGGAGTGGCGGAGACGCTCAAGTGGCCGCGTGGCGTCCCTCCGCCACAGCCACGGAGAGCCGCGCACACGCTGGGCTGCGGTGGCAGGCCCCAGCACCTGACCCTCCCTTGTGCCTCCGACACTGATCTGGCTTGTACTGTGCTGAGACTTGGATTCACTCGTGACCGTTCTTTTCGGCGAAAACCAGGAACTGGCAGGTGCCTGGGCCGTTTGCGCCTTCAAAGCCCGAGTGTGTCCTTCCCGCACGGTCCACTCCCTCCCACCAGGGGGAGGCCTCAGGATCGCAGAACCATTCTTTCCTGGAGTCCCGCCACCTGGCATGAAACCTTCAAAGGCTCTCGTAGTTTAGCGCATATAAGCCCACAGCGTGCGTGGCCCTCTGATGTCGCGTTAGGGTTTGCAGATTTGCCGCGTGGGTGTGCGCGTGTCTGGGGTTCCGGCGCTGGAACCCTGCCCCTGCCCCCGGGGCCCGCTGGCTTGCATGGTCCGGCAGGGGAGACGTGCTCACCAGCCACAGGCTCACCCTCGCGGTGTGCGATTTCCCCGTCACTTTTGGACGACCGGTGTGATGTGGGTGCGAGGCAGCTTTGCTGTGGCGTTGAGGCGACCTTCCAAAGCGATGAAGGAAATGCCAGGTTCCCTCATGTTTACCTCAAGGTCTTGCTGTTCCGTGGGGTCTTTCAGTACTCTCGTCTCTTAACGAAGTCCTCCGAATCTTTATGCAGCCAGTATACTTTTTCCTTTACGATTTGAGCTTTTTTTTCTAAAGCATCCTTCTATGTCAATGTGTTTGATCCGCTGGAGTTGATAGGAAGCATCAGGTCTGAGTTCATTTTCATGTGGAGAGTCACGTGGGGGCCATGTGCGAAGTGTCTAGTCTCCATCACAGACCAGCTATGTGCAAACTTACCGGGACCATCCGTGGGCTACTGGAGTCACCGTGGGGCACTGGGTTACTGACCCCTGCAGCGTTCAGGTTTATGAACAATTACGGATAAGCCGGTCCTCCTTCCACTTTCCAGCCATTCGTGGCCTCGTGAGCTGGCACAGAAATAGAAGCCGATTGTTAGCGCCCACCAAAACCCGTGTGGGGTTTTTTGAGAGAATTACATGTAATCAAGAATTTGCAGGTAGACTTGACATTAAAAAAAATTTTTTTAACGTTTATTTTTGACGCAGAGCATGAACGGGGGAGGGTCAGAGAGAGAGACACAAAATCCGAAGCAGGTCCCAGGCTCTGAGCTGTCAGCACAGAGCCCGACGTGGGGCTCAACCTCATGAGCCGTGAGATCATGACCTGGGCCACAGACGCCCAACCGACGGAGCCCCCCAGGCACCCCTTATCTCTTATTAAAGCATAAAGATCTTACATATCTTCTAAGTTTACT